ATCCACTGAGCCAAACCGGTTTCGGCGGGATAACAGACATTTTAATGAATGTCAAAAACCTTGCTTTAGCCCAGCCCCTGTGGCTCAGTGGCTGAGCATCAACCCAGGAACCAGAAGGTCACTGGTTTGATTTCTGGTCTGGGCACATGCCTGGGTTGCAGGCTCGACCCACAGTAGGGGGTGTGCAGGAGGCAGCCAATGGGTGGTTCTTTCTAATCATTAAGTTTTCCACCCTCTTTCTCTGAAATCAATAAAAAAAAAAAAAAAACCTTGCTTTAATGGATATTCACTCCTAGTTACCCAAAGCTTAATCCCTACATTCATCTTAACACTAGAGGCCTGGTGCACAACATTCGTGCATTGGAGGGTGGGGGGGCGCGGAGATGGTGTTCCTCAGCCTGACCTGTGCCCTCTCACAGTCCGGGACTCCTTGGGGGATATCTGACTGCCAGCTTAGGCCCGGACCTAAGCCGGAAGTTGGACATCCCCTGAGGGGTCCTTAGTGCTGCCATGGAGGCGGGAGAGGCTCCTGCCACCTCTGCTGTGCTCACCAGCTGTGAGTCCAGCTTCTGGCTGAGTGGCACTCTCCCTGTGGGAGCACACTCAGCTAGAAGCTGGGTTCGCTGGTCCTTAGCACTGCCTCGGAGGTGGGAGCGGCTCCCGCCACTGCCGCTGCACTCATCAGCTGTGAGTCCGGCTCTGGCTGAGCAGTGCTCCCCCTATGGGAGCACACTGACCATCACGGGGCAGCTCCTGTGTTGAGCAACTGCCCTCTGGTGATCAGTGTGCGTCATCGTGACTGGTTGTTCCACCATCCAGTCTATTTGCATACTGGCCTTTTATTATATAGGATTCTCTCTGCTTTTTTGCCACCATTGGAGAAATATGAGAATGAGCTTCTTGTGCCATTCTAAATACAAATCACAGTAGCAGTAATAGTCAAAGGAAATTCTGATCACAAAAAGAAGTACTCTCCGTTTCTAACTTCCTCACTTCTAGAAACAAAATTTAAGCTTCAGAATCTTACTATATTTCTTTTTTAAAAAAAAAATATTTTATTGATTTTTTACAGAGGAAGGGAGAGAGACAGAGAGTCAGAAACATCGATGAGAGAGAAACATCGATCAGCTGCCCCCTGCACATCTCCCACTGGGGATGTGCCCGCAACCCAGGCACATGCCCTTGACCGGAATCGAACCTGGGACCCTCCCGTCCGCAGACCGACGCTCTATCCACTGAGCCAAACCGGTTTCGGCAGGATCTTACTATATTTCTGACACCGTCACCCTCATCACCACTACCATTATCACCTGCTAAAAACAGTTAATTCTAGAAAGCCCACAGAAAAATTCAGCCCAGGATAAAGTAGAACAAATTATAGATTGATTTCTAAACCATCATGAGAAAGCAATGGGAATGTAATCAATATGAAGTTTTTTTAAAATGCACCCAACCTAATGAGGATAAAAGTTAAAATAGGTATTCTCCACCAATTTTATGATAAACTATCCTCCACAATCTCCTTATAATACTGTGGCAGGCAGAATGGCCACATGATCCCCTTGTTACTCCCTGTATAATCCCCTCTGGTTGAGTGGAGAGGGAGCAGGGGACATGGACCTGTGCTATTCTAACTAAAAGAATACATGGCAAAAGTGATGGGACGTTGCTCCCTTGATCAGGTTATATGGCAACGGTGATGGGGTGTGATGGGGTGTCAATCTGTGACTACATTGTAAGACTTATCTTAGCACACTGAAGAAAGAAACTCCCTTGCTGACTTTGAGGAAGCAAGCTGCCATCTTGGGAAATGGCCTACAGAGAAGCCAGGAAACAAACAAACTGCAGGTAGTCCCTAGGACAGTGATGGGGAACCTATGACACGCGTGTCAGAGGTGACACGCCAACTCATTTTTTTGGTTGATTTTTCTTTGTTAAATGGCATTTAAATATATAAAATAAATATCAAAAATATAAGTCTTTGTTTTACTATGGCTGCAAATATCAAAAAATTTCTATATGTGACACGGCACCAGAGTTAAGTTAGGGTTTTTCAAAATGCTGACACGCCGAGCTCAAAAGGTTCACCATCACTGCCCTACGATCTGAGAGCAGCCTCCAGCTGAAAGCCAGCAAGAAAGCAAAAGCTCAGTCCCACAATTGAAAGACGACAACTGCCAAAACCGGTAGGAGCTTGGAAACCAATCTTCCCTAGTTGAGCCTCTGATGAGACGAAAGTCCCAGCTGACAGGCTGCAGTTACGTAGTCACTCAACAGAGGACTCGGCTAGTGTGTGCACAGAAACCGTGAGAAAATATATATCCTTTTGAGCCACTAAATTTGTGGTAATTTGTTCTGCAACAATAAAAATTAGCACAAGCCCTCATTGGTTTGGTTTGGCTCAGTGGCTAGAGCATTGGACTGCGGACTGGAAGGTCCCAGGTTCGATTCCAGTCAAGGGCACATGCTCGGGTTGCGGGCTCAATCCCTAGTAGGGGGCGTGCAGGAGGCAGCCAATCAATGATACTCTCTCATCATTGACGTTTCTATCTCTCCCTCTTCCTCTCTGAAATCAATAAAAATGTATTTTTTTAAAAAGTTAAAAAAAAGAAAAACTAGCACAAATGCCTAGGATATGGTAGTGTTGTTTTTTCACTTTTTTTAAAAATAAATATTTTATTGATTTTTTACAGAGAGGAAGGAAGAAGGATAGTTAGAAACATCAATGAGAGAGAAACATCGATAAGCTGCCTCCTGCACACCTCCTACTGGGGATGTGCCCGCAACCAACGTACATGCCCTTGACGGGAATCGAACCTGGGACCTTTCAGTCCGCAGGCCGACGCTCTATCCACTGAGCCAAACCGGTTACGGCTGTTTTTTCACTTTTTAATCAGTATCACCCAAATTTTACCAACAAAGACTAAACAGCTTCACTCCATTAGACAAACAGGTAGTTGACATGCTTTGACAAAAACAATAAAAAGGAATTAAAGAATAACATTAATACTTTAAAAAAAAACTCACAAAAGGTACAGTGCACTTTCGTATATGGCCAAACTGTGCAAAGTGTTCTCTCAGCTCACCTGTATAGGAAGAGAAAACATTAAAAGTAGTTAATGCATTTTGTATCCTCCATCCTAGATTGTAGATAGAAAGCAAAAGGTGTCCTAGAACTCCAAACTTCTTGTGAACAGGAGCTACTTGGCATTTCCTGAAGCCTTAAGATTTAGGAGGCAGCTAAGGTGTTGACTATGAAGCTGTAATGTACCAGATTTGCGGAGGTGATGGGGTAGGGACATGGACTGATAAATTGCTGAGTTAACTGTAATCTTCATCCCCAACAAATATCATCATACCAGACATTGTACTAAGTGCCTGCATTATAATCCCTATGAGAAGATCACATAGAAGACAATTACAACAAAGAGATTTCCAAATAAAATCTCAATTTACTTGCCTTTCATAATTTAAAGTTTACACTAAGTTAAATAATTGGTTTTCTAAAATTTGTTGAGTTGATCCTACCTACAACCTTCCTGCCTTATCTCCCATTGCTATTCAGCAAATGAAATTCTGTGTATGCATGCTGTCACTTCACATCTTTGCATGTCATTCTTTCTCCTTGACATGTCAGTAATCCTATCTCCTCCTGCCTAAACTGTAATTATCCTTCAAGACCCAGGCCAAATACATCCACTGAATATTATTTCATTGAGCTTCTACTGAAAGACAAGACAACATACAGTACCCTATGAGGTGGGTATGAGCAGTGGATAAGGTTAAAGACCAAAAAACATGATCTCTTTCTCTTCTGAACTACAAGGCTTGTACTGTCTGATTTGCATTCATATTACTTGCTTATTTCCCCTAGTTTAGTGGTCGGCAAACTTCAGCTCGCGAGCCACATGGGGCTCTTTGGCCCCTTGAGTGTGGCTCTTCCACAAAATACCACATGCGGGCGCACATGTAGTGCAACTGAAACTTCGTGGCCCATGCGCAGAAGTCGGTATTTTGTGGAAGAGCCACACTCAAGGGGCCCAAGAGCCGCATGTGGCTCGCGAGCCGCAGTTTGCCAACCACTGCAGGGCCTAGTTCATCTAACCTCACTGGTTCAACAACCACCTACACTTGTGTGTAAGCCTCCTCCCCTCTACCACTTCAGTGAAAGCTCCTGAGTGTTGAGTCCACTATGCCCACAGTGATTGATACACAGTTGGGAAATATTTTCTAAATGAATAAATGTCTGCTAACCCTTCAACAACCCACAGAGACTAAATTTCTTAAGAGCTCTATAGTTGGTCAAACCAGTTGGCAAGATCAGAATCTCACAGAACATGTTACTGGAGGATAAACAAAACAGTGTTAAATATACATGTCTTAAACCAGGTATTAAAGTTTTAGAAAACATTCACTTCCAAAACAAACCAGCTCTGGAAGGTAAACCTTTCCCCAAATTAACTACAATTTTTTTGAAAAAACAGCTACGAGCACGAGGAACAATGCCTACCACATAATAGATACCCTTTAAATATTTGATGAATGAACTGAGAGAGACTTTCAAAATTGAATGTTCTACAGACTCTCTTGGAGATTATACACTAAGTGGCCAGATTATTATGACCAACTGACATTTGTAGGCAAATTAGCTATAATTTCACGCTTAAGTTGCTAGAGGCCCAGACCATTATAAATAGGGAAGCAGGTTGTTTTCCATGACAGAAGTGATTTTTTTCTGAAGATATGGGTGAACAACGTGATTTAACAGCCTTTGAACGTGGGATATATATACACACACACACTGCCAGATTATTATGACCACCCCATCAGTACTTCGTTGGGCCACGTTTTGCCTTCAATACTGCGGCGAATCTTCTTGGCATTGCCTCCACGAGATGTTGAAAGGTGATGCGAGGAATCTGACACCATGCGTGATGAATAGCACTGTCCAGTTCTGTGAGATTTGATGGTTGTGGAACCAACTGCCTGATGGCTCTTTTAACTTCGTCCCACAAATGCTCAATTGAATTGAGATCTGGTGGTTGTGGGGGCCACCTAAGCAAGCTAAAGTCTCCCTCATGTTCTTGAAACCACTCCTGCACAATACGAGCACCGTTGCATGGTGCATTATCTTTTTGGAAGAAGCCATGTCCATTGGGATACACCATCAACATGATAGGATGAACCTGATCAGCAATGATACTTAGGTATGTTGTGCTATTCAGACATTGTTCTACACGAATTAAAGGGTCCAAATCATGCCAGGAAAACATCCCCAAACCATAACACTGCCCCCACCAGCTTGAAGGGTTGTACTCATGCATGTGGGGTGCATGCTTTCATGCTGTTTCTGCCAAATTCTCAGTCTGCCATCTGCATGATGCAACTGGAAACGTGATTCATCAGACCACATGACTTTTTTCCAATGCTCAACTGTCCAATCCTTGTGTTCCTGTGCAAATTGGAGATATTTTATCTTGGTAACTGCAGACAGCAAAGGTGTTCGAACAGGCGTTAGGCTTCCATACCCTATATTTTGTAAAACTACTATTTGGAATTCTCTGCTATTCTTTAGACGGTCCCTTATTCTAAAAAAAATAACTTTCCTTTCTAGCCTGCTTGAATAATGAGGAAGATAACCTTAGCTGTCTGACCTTGTAGGCCAGAGACTAGATACGCCCATACTCTCAGTGCCATGCCAGGTATATTGTTTAATTGGATAGAACGGTAATGTTTTTGTAAAACTACTATTTGGAATTCTCTGCTATTCTTTAGACGGTCCCTTATTCTAAAAAAAATAACTTTGCTTTCTAGCCTGCTTGAATAATGAGGAAGATAACCTTAGCTGTCTGACCTTGTAGGCCAGAGACTAGATACGCCCATACTCTCAGTGCCATGCCAGGTATATTTTTTAATTGGATAGAACGGTAATGTTTTCAAGGCCACCAGCGAGATAACCACTAAGCACACATAGGGCTGGCTCTTTCATAAAAAGGGAAGTTCTGCTTGTAGCTCTGCTTAGAATTTGAATTCATCTTCTTTAAGCCCACCGCGGTGAATAAAGTGTAACTACAAACTCTCTGAGCATTGCTTGATTTATTCCGGTTCTCTGTAACATATATGCATATGTATATGTATATGTATATACACACATACATATATATATGTGTATATAAATTTCAGAGAGAAAAAGAGAGGGAAAGAAACATCAATGATGAGAATCATTGATTGGCTGCCTCCTGCACACCCTACACTGGGGATCAAACCCGCAACTGGGGCATGTGCCCTGACCAGGAATCCAACTGTGACTTCCTTGTTCATAGGTCCACGCTCAATCACTGAGCCATGCGGCCAGGCTCTTGGAGGGTTTTAAATCCCCCATTACAGTCTGGAATCTCACATTTGCAAGATGCTGAAGAAACCCCTGAGCCTTTCTAGTTTCACAGGGCCTAAGCAAGACATTTTACTGGGTTTGGTCTTCACCCACAACCTATTGAGAAGGTGAGACACAAATTGATCTACTTCTCATCCTACTATCATATCTGGGCCACAAAAATTAAGAGAAGCTACCCCTGTTCTATTGTTTAAGGGAACTGACTCGACACATGGATTATCCATGTGACTGTAAGCAAATGTAGAATCTTAAGTCATAAAGATGTAAATTGTAAAACTGCTTATGTAAATTCTGGTAAGCTTGGGGTAAAAACCTTACCCCAAAACAGCAGCCAAAAAAAACCAAAACCAATATTGGTGAGAGATTTCAGTACTGATTACTCCTAACCTTCTATCTCCGGCCTATGCCTCTCCCATGAACTTCAATTTTAGTAATCATGAAAATAACTACCATTTATTGAGTACTTAACTCTACATTTAGCACAAGTTTAGCACTATACATAGGAACTCGTTCCCAGTCGCATGAGGAAGGTCCTGACTCCATTGTACAGGGGATGACAAGGAGGCACCGTGGCGAGCCCTTTCCCCAGGTGCCGCCCGCGAGTCGGGTTGCAGGATTGAATGGCCGGCGTGGAATTCTAGCCAAGCAGTACGGCTTCAGGCCCCGCTTCCAACTCCGCGACACGCAACCTCCTCTGTCCGACACATTCCAACTTAACTCCTCTCCCTGCCACCCGCTTCTCCTACATTCCAACCACGGAATCCGCCAACGTTGAAGCCTGGAAGCCATTCCTCCCTTCCCCTCACCGGGTGCTCTACCGCCTTTCAAGACATCACGGAAAAGCTGTCCATTTTGTTTTGTTCACATCAATGGGTCCGACCTCCCTTCTACCACTCCCCTAGTTCAGCGCCTCATCTTTGAGCTAAATGGCAGAAACTGCCTTTCAGTTCGTTTCCTCGCCTCCCATCTTGCCCCTCGGAATTCATCCCCCGCACCGCAGTCAAATCAAACCCTTCTCAATGGTAAATCTTAACGTTTCCGAGGAACAGCCTTTCCACCAAATCACCCCGATGGGC